TGATCTCGCTCTAGAAATGGAATTGAACGATTCAGATTAGCTAGAATGAATAGAAGGGGTAGAGTGTAGCCGCCTGTGGCCCGGGCTGCCTGTCACAACTACAGTCTGGCACGCGGATGACGTTTTAAAAGCCGAGTGTGTATGATGGCCGCTCACACTGAGCCTGGTTCTAGTTCTGCTGGAGGTTTCTTCCTATTCAAAGGCAGTTTTCCTCTCCACTGTTGCTACAAGCATGCTTGAAGTGAGGGATTGCTGAAGAGTCAATGTGTCGTTGCAATCAGTTCAAGATTTCAATCAATTTAACTGGATAAACTGGTTGAATTGTCTCTGTAAAGTGTCTTGAGATTAAATGTGTTGTGAGTTGGTACTATATAAATGAAAAGAATTGAATATTAAAGATTTTATTTTAGTGCAATAATCCCTATTTAAGCTCCCAATTGAATCAAAATTATCGAACCTACTTTTTCAGTGCTATTTTATTTCTACAGGTAAAAATGTTGTTTGTGTTGATTTGGTTTTCATGATAGAATCCTTTTTAACTATGGCCGATGCTTATCTGGCTGGTTGTTTCCTGGTTAGGGAGCTGGCTGACAGTTGCCTTTTGTATCTATGCTTCTTTCTGTATAGCCTTTTTCCAACTGAAAATACCAGGTTAACACATGTGTTTCAAATATGTGTCAACCCAATAAGAATATGCATTTGGCTCCCTTCCCACTGGCAATAAAAGATGGGTCTGACCCCTCGCTGGCAAGCTGCGTGGCTGGTGACACCATCACGCTGGGTTAGCTTTGTAGATGTCACCAGTCGAACATGAATCAAGCTTTCCAAATGGACATGGAGAAAAGTTTTCCAGGTCTGGCACAATTAGGGACAGAACAAACAATATGTCTTTTAATGATTTTGATCATTTCATGTGTTTACTGATGAGTAAAGACAAAGCTAACAGGATGGACTATATGCTATGTTACAGTAATATGTTTTGAGCTGTTGTTGAAGCTTGGACAAGCTTTATTTCACTAAGAGTTTAAACACTGATATAACATTAGTGTTCATGTGTTCCTAATATGCTCATTACATTTCCATTACCAACTATGACCAAAAGTCATTTAATGGAATCCTCATGTCTATTTGCTGCTAGCTATTTCAAAGAGGGTAAAGAATCTCTTAACTAAAAGGTCATTGGTTCCTGATTAAGCAAATCATTTAATAAAACGTTATTTGGCCAAATAATGTTTTATTCACCTCATGGATTTGCATTGTGAAACATTCCAATTTCTCTAAATTAGTGAAAAGCTAATTTGATAATATCCCAAATTCCTCAAAACAAACTTTAGTTTTAATACAAAGTACATAGAAGTTTAGTTTAGTTGAGTTTCACTAGTTTTAGTTCAGAGTTTTAAACGGAAATATGTTTGACTTGGGACTGAATGATTTTTGTTAATAAACTCATATTTTGAACAGAAGTTGTGGTGAATTTATTCCATGTATGTGCACAATTAACTATTTGACCATGATAAGAGCTCGAATCATTCTTTCACTTATCGTTCTAACACACAGTTAGTAGGGCTGTGTGTCATAAACAATATGACAGCCGAAATAATATCTGATTAAATATGATATTTACCACCCCTAATGGGGAGCACAATAAACATCTTAAAGTATCAGAAATATAAATTCCCAGCTGACTGGGAATTGAATATAACAGTTATTAACAACATAAATATGGTATCCAACCTGGATCGGCATATAGTATAAATCCACAACGTGTGTGTGTGTGTATATGAAGAACTGCAAACTACTTGGATGTAAAATAATTGCTTTGTCAAGCTGTTGCCTACCTTTGTGAAGCAGGAAAAAGACTAATACAAAGTGAATCCAGTAGAACTTTTTATTGCCTACCTGGAATGGGTGGTAATAGTTGAATAAACTTTTGGCTTTCAAAATTATATCAGTGCCCTATTTGTCGGCACTCGCCGATACCGATAACACCATTTTAGTGCAGTATTGGGGTCCGCTCCAATACTGGTATCGGTACAACACTAGTCCTTACTATGAATTTTTGTTTGAGTTTTTAGAGTTCCTATCTGATTTAGTGTGGAAAACAAAACATCAGATTTTTTTAGGTCCTGCAAATTTTGCATTGCTTACTGAAAAACACACCATTTGCCTCGCGTCACTCTACCTCACAGAATTCCAGAGACATCTTTTACAATAGGTAAAACATATAGATAGTCCCCTCAATGAAATTTTGCAATAATAGTTGTAATAGTGTATAATAATTTATTCACAATGGGGAAGTATAACAATATGGCACCCATGATCGCTCACTAGTCAAAGCAAATCTGTTTGTGTTGGGATCTGGAGATTTACCACCTTTCTCCAGCAGAGTGCGCTGTGGATCTCCTGGGCTG